CCTTAATCAACATAATTGTTTATTTTCTATCGCCGTCGTCTCGAATCAACTTTTATAATACTACGCGTTTTATATATGATAGTGTTCTGTTTTCGATACTTCTGTTGAAGATGAAGTACATCTCCTGAAGTAAAGGACTTATATCTAATACTGAGAAATTTCCCATATAAAATACAGCTTCTTTGAACAGTTCTGCTGCTGGCGATGGTGGTTTGATTTGACAAGCGAGGGTTTCAGTTTCAAATCGAAGTCGTGCTGGAGCTAGYCTTGGGAAATATACTGGTGGAATATTTGCATTAATTCTTTTAGATGTCGATAAAAACTTGAAAATAAATCTTAAGGACATGCTGCTTCAGAAAGGCTTTCTTGTCTTTAGGCTTCACAATCATAAYGAAGAGATGTCAGAGATGATTCGCTCAGCTATTTGCTTTCGGTCTCTTGGATTTCTTTGCTAAGACTGTTTTTCTCTCATSGAGTAGCTTTTCATCACTCGCCGTTTTTAGCTGTTAAATTTTGGTTTTTCTCCTGACAATATTAGTTTTCAATTCTCTTTCTAAAATGCTTTGTCTCTAGTCATAAGAAGATTGAAGTTGTTGATTGAATTCCGTGGTACGTTTTCACAACTCTTTCCTGATTGGACTAAACGCTTATCGCACGTGTGAGAAATTGGTTTTGCTCCTATGATTGGCTAGTTTTGATTTTGAAACGGTCAATTTTCAAATAGAAAAATACGTGAGAAAATCTCAGTATGTACATAATAAATACATTTTTGTAATTTCTATTCTATCTGCTCTACTGGAGCATTCAAATAGAATACTTCATGTTGTTTTACTTAATCAGCCTCGGGCTTCAACTCATCTGCATTTGCTTCAGGAATATTTAATCTTTAATCTCCCTCAAGAGCCATGCATGCGCGCTATTACTTATAATAATTAAAAAAAAAAATTCTTTCGCTTTCTCCCTTGCATTGCTGTACAGCCAAAAAGTAAAACTCGCGACTGTAGTTTGTATTTTTACCAATTAGAAGAAATCGTCAAGATTTCCAGTAGTGGTAAAACGAGTTTAGAAACAGCCCTTGAAATCTAGGATTAATTGAAGTTGCGGTAGGTTTGTTACGTATTGAATTATATCATCTTTTCCAGGCCAGAGTAGCATAGTAGTAGACTTGTCGTAGCTGGAATTCAAAGAACTCCATGATTGTTAAAATACTCATACCAAGGAAAAGACCAAAATTACCTCCAACTCCACCTGAARACAATCAAATAACTTGCATCAATTACATATGCGCGTTTATCAATAAGCTCAAACTTGTTTTTGATACGCAGTGGAACATATACTTCATTTTATAAATTTTTTGATATATAACGCGCGCTCTAATTGGCTGACGACGTGTGTATCAGAGCACAGAGACACGGCTTACCGGCAGGCTTACCGGCAAAATTTTCTTTTCGCTACGCTTGTGTTCCTAAGCTTGCTTCTCTCGTGTTTTCCGAACTCCCACCGTGTTTATATCAGAGGACAGAGACACGCGCGCCGTTTTATATTTCTTATTATAAAATATCTTGGATACTACGCGCGTTCTGATTGGCCGACTGCCGTGTTTGTATCAGAGTATGTAAACATGGTTTTGACGTCACCATTTTTTGGCAAGTTTCTTATCCATGAAACGGAGTTCATACGACCAATGCTTTCATGTGTTATTTGTGGCTTTGTGAATTTTTTCGTCGGTGATGCTGAAGTGCCGGCACGTCGAAGCGGCTAATCAAACATCATTTAAAGTGTCAAAACAAAGTCTTTCAGTATCGGGCAGGTTGGGAGAATTCTCGATGGTTATGCAAACTCTCGACTTCGTCTCGGGTTTGCATAACCGTCTCGAATTCTCAAAACCCACCCTCGTGTTTGCATCAGGCTATGTAAACACGGAAAAAGTTATCTATTAAATTTATCTATTAAATTTATCTCTTAAATAAGAGATATAAAACGGCGTGCGTGTCTCTGTCCTCAGATATAAACACGGTGGGAGTTAAAAAGCACTCGAGAAGCAAGAAAAACACTCGCTACGCTCGTGTTTCTAACCTTCCTTCTCTCGTGATTTTCAACGACCACCGTGTTTATATCAGAGGACAGAGACACAAGCGGCCGTTTTAATATAGTAAGGCGTGTCAATGTCCTCTGATACAAACACTTTAAAGGTTGTAAATATGATGTAAGTGTCCTAAATTTTGTAAATTTTATGTAAATGATTTCCATTAAATTTACAGAATTTAGGACACTTACATAATATTTACATAAATTTACAACCTTTAAAGCGCGCGATTTTTTTCCAGTGAAACACGGTAGTCAACCAATCAGAGTGCGCGTTATATATCAAAAATGTTATAACTCGCAATAAAGCACTAGTAAAAGGTGGATAACGAGCATTACAAGGTAATATAGACCCTTTTAGTCACTAGCGCGCTAGTTTTGGAGATTACAACTACAAGTAGATAAATAGATATAGCCTGCTGTACTGTTGCAATCTCACGTGCAGAGCCCTATAGTTAAGGTTACTGCACCCCTTCGCGGGGTGCC